TGCCCAATTCGACAACGTACCACCTGGGACTCGTTCGCACCTATCACACTCACAGAAATGGGCAGAACCTGCAAGGTGGCCTCACACCTGGGCAGCACAGGAGCAGCCCCTGCGTGGAGCCTGGCAAAGATAACGGTCACATGGTGTTACACATCAGGGTGACGGCACACACGTGGTCCCTGCAGCACTGCCCACAGGGGAGAAGCAGGCAAGTGTCCATCAACAGATGACTGGGCACACACATGCAGTGTGTGCATAGTGGAAATATCACTCAGTGTTAAAGAGAGTGGACGCTTGTCATATAAACAAACCTTGAGGCACCCCGCTGAGTAAAATGTGCCAGTCACAGAAGGGCAGATACTGCAAGACTCCAGGGACATGAGGGGTTAAATTCTTAGAAATAGAGTGGTGGGTGCCGGGGATGGAGGGAGGGAAACGGGGAGCTCAGCGGGTGCAGAGTGGCAGGTCGCGTGATGGACAGGTTCTGGAGACGGGCTCACAGCACTGTGCTCTTGGCCAACACCACTGCCCTGTATGCGTGAAGCGGCAAGATGGCAGAGTTCCTGTGGTCTGGGTAACCATGAGGATGGATAACTCATGCTTTCTGAACTCCTTACCAAGCCCCATACACCGGGCTCCCAGGCGAACAGATACTATTGCATGCGATCCTTCCAGAAGCTGCCCGAGCCGGGCACTGTTTCTCCCATTTTACTAAGTGAGGCTCAGTGGGCTGAAGCAATACAGCCCAGTTGCCTGCTACTAAGAGGCTCCCAGCGAGGTCAGCGCCAGCAATCTGACCACAGTGTAATTTCAACTGCTTTGTTATATCACCTGGCTAAAAGGTGGCACTTCCCAGCATCCCGGGTGGAGGTGCAAATCTCACATTCCCAAGCAAATTTGTCTGGGCAGAGGGAAAACACAACTAGTGTTTGTTACTCCCACACGTGAGCTGTTCTTCCTCAGTTTATCTGGTCAAGACTGGTCATGAGAAACTCCCAACCAGATCCCATCAGCCCACCTCTGCATTTGGCCGTGGGGTCTGCTGTGGTGTGCATTTTGGGGTAAATTTTCATGGAAGACACACCTATATCCCCACACATGGCACACGTTACAACTGTAAAGCTCACTGAATTTTCACAAATGGATTGCACCCACAGAACAGCACCCAGGTCAGGAAACACAGATAGGACCCCAGCTGTACCCCTTCTAGTAAGTACACTGTCCCCTCTAATGTCACAGATCCATTCTCCAAAAACAACTTGTTTTTCCAATTAAGTGAAATCAGCTCTCAGGTTGGGATTCCAGAGTTGACACACAGTAAAACACAGAGACCAGGTCAAAAATGGAATGGCAACCAAGAGCACAGGCCTGTGCCTAAACAGAACCTGAACCCCTCGACCAGGGAATGTAGACTTCGTAAAGACTTAACCCCTTAAAGAATGGGATTCCTCCTAAAAATTAAAAAAAAAAAAAGAGAGAGAGAGAGGAAGAGAGAGAAAAGGGCTTTGAATTTCACCAGTGAAACACCAAGAGTAACCTAGTTAATGGCCATTCACTCTCTCAGACAGTGTTGACAAACTACAGCTTCCCACTTGATCAAGTTTGGAACATAGCTATGCCCAATCCTTTCCACATTGCCCATGGTTGCTCGTACTCTACGGCAACAGATTTAAATAGCTACTGCTGAGATCTTGTGGCTGCAGAGCCCATAGATTATTATATATATGGTATTTTCTATGTGGCTCTTTCTAAAAAGTTTATTGATGCCCATTCTAGAATATAAACTCCATGAGAAGAGGGACTGGGTCATGTTTGAGCCCCTGGGACTAGACCACTCTGGCATGTGGTAAATGGCCATGGGTTGGCTCACAGATTCAAAAAAAAATTTTTTTAGTTGTAGATGGACATAATACCTTTATTTTAGTTATTGTGTGGTTCCAAGGATCAAACCCAGGGTTTCACACATGCTAGGCAAGCGCTCTCCCACTGAACTATAACCCCAGCACTGGCTCACATATTTTTTATTATTGGTATAAATTTTTTGGTGGGATTGAACCCAGGGCCTGCACGGATTCTACCACTGAGCTATATCCCCAGTCCTGCATTTTTATTTATAGTACATGTGGAAAATAAACACCTCTTCCTTTAAGTCATTAATGGGGTTTTCTTTATTCTACAGTTAAGCCCATTCCTAAGCAATATCATAAACCATAAAAATCAAGTCTGATAAAAACTTGATAAAAGTCAGCCTAGGAGAAGAGAAGCACCCGCCGTGGCTGGCAGAAAAGGGCCTGAACCTGGAGTCAGGAGAACACAGTTAGAGCCCAGGTCTGCCCACTCGAGGCCCAGGTGGGGAACAGTCCCTAGACTCAGAACCCTGAGCTGCAAAGTGCAGATGTCAGTAGAGACTTCGGGTTGGAAAGGCAGCGTCCCCTGGATGGGACAGACAGACTGGAACAGGAAAGCCCTCGGAGCTGGAGTGATGCTGGCAGGCATGTAGCAGGCTTGTCGGAAATAAGCAGATAACGTGGCTTCGGAAGTTTTGAAAACTATTATTTCAATATAAAATAAGCTTATGAAGCAATGTTCTGAATGACATGCACCTGCCACGTGGTGACGGTTTGTGGTCCTCTCTTCCCAAGCTAATGAATGGAAACCACGCCCCTCTTGCCACCTGACACATCAGCTCACGTTTCTCCCACAGTGTCACGTGATGAAGCCCAGATCAGCTGTCAGGTGAAGGGGGGAATGCAGACTTAGATCTGACAGGTCTGCTGCGGTCTGCTGCTTCAGGAGAAGACGGGGTGGGAGTCAGGCAAGCTAAGATTCGTTGGCTCCGGGCAAACTTGGGGCAAACTTCCTCTGCCTGCTCCGTCCTTGGAGGCTCTCTCCCCCACATCTGGACCCTTCCCCCTCTACTGTCTGCACCTCCTTTGAGGGCTGTGCCTTCTCCTCCCTCGGCCCCTTCTCCTCACCTTCCCTCCCATCCAGTTTCAGAGTATCGATCGATATTCACAACGATCCCAAGATTCCAGAGCCTGACGTCTGCTCGGTTTCTTTCCTGTCCTCTACCAGGAGACCGCCTTCTGGTCCCGCCCATCAGACACCGCCACCAGCCAGCCTCCCGCTGCCCGTATCTGACAAGGCTCCTCATCTTCCCCTGGGCACGGTCTTCCCTCCAGCTCTCCTTCTCCAGCAAGGGCCACTGTGATCCAGGCAGTGAAGGCCACAGCCGAGCTGCCCTGAGCCCAATCACCCAACCAGTGGTGCCCTCAACCACATCCTCCCTCGGCCTCGGCCTCTGGAACCCATCCCCCACCCTCCGTGCTCCCTGCCTCTGGCCAGTCCACCTCTTGCCTAATCGCGGTGTGTCCTGCAGGTCTCTGGGCTGCAGTCTCGTCCTATTCCAATCTGGCTACTGTGGTCTTTCTAGAGCAAATCAGACCACACCACTTCCCTCTGGAGTATAGGGACAGCTTCACTGGCCTGTTACCTGGGTGGCCCCTGACTACAGGCAACCACTGTCCAGTACAAAGGCCCCTCTACACGCGGCTACCGAGCACCGCAAATCCTACCAGGCTGAAGGGAGGGGCTGAAGTGTCGAATGCACACCAGATTTAATAGGAAGACACCCTACTCGTAGTTATACTGATTGCGGATAAAATGGTATATGCTGTTAGATATGTTTTAAAATTAATTTCAACTGATTTGTTTAAGCCTTTTTGAATATAGCTACCAGAAAAGTTAAAATTATGTAGGTGGCTCCTGTCCTATTGGACAGTAATGGCACAGAAAGCCCTTGCCCCCTGGCCCCCTGCCCACCTTTCCATGTCACCATCTTTGCCATTGCCCGTTCCCAACCCCTCAACTCTGCCTTGTCTGCAGGTTCCTGAAGAGGCCACTTGATTTCTGGTATTTGTCCATGAGGTGCTCCTCTCCCTGGAACATTCTGGTAGGTCAGGCCCTCGGGCTCCTGGACCTCGGTTTGGTAATACTGGGAAGGATTTCCTGAACACAATGTCTGCTGTCCCCACTGCCCAGCAGCCCTCCATGACACCTGTCACATGTCCCTGTGGCCTGTGACTCAGCCTGGAGCATAGGTTCCCTGCACCTTGCTCATCACTGGATGCCAGGAGGGTGACTGGGACCAGGTCCCCGCACCTTGCTCATCACTGGATGCCAGGAGGGTGACTGGGACCAGGTCCTCGGTGCGTGGGAAAGAATCACCAGAAGCAGAGCCAGGGACCTTACAGCCTGCAAAGGAAGGTGACTGACAAACAGTGGACCAGGCCACAGCCTCCAGAAAGTGCCGTCACACAAGGCAGGTAAAAACAGCAGGAAACCGTACTCTAAATGTTGGACTCAGAACAGTGAGATTTGTTTTCCAAAGGACAATCTGATTTATTTAGCAACTTTAAAATGGTTGGACCTACAGGTTGGGCAATGCCAGGCCTTTGGACTTGAACTATAGAAATCTTGCAATAATATGTTCCCTGTGGCTTCATTTTTAATAGCTTCAAAAAAAAGAAGGAAAGAAAAAGAAAAAAAAAGCAAAACTGTGAATCCCTGACACTGGAAGTTGCAAATTATATGTGCAGCTGTGAAAAAGAAGGAAGGGCGCTGGATATGCTGAGAAGGAAATCTCCCCTGCCAGTGAGGGAAGTGCAGGTCACTGTCGATTGTTTCCTCACATCTATGCATTGTAAAGATAAGGATGTTCCCAGGCGGGAGGGACAGCTCACCTCATGTCCTCCTTGAACTCGCTGACCATGTGCATGGGTTACTTTCATCATGCATTTGAAATTATATTTTGGTGATACACGCGCTCGCGCGTGCACACATACACACACACACAGAGACATATGTATGCATTCAAACATTACTGAGGGCCTTCTGGTGTTTTTCCTGTTTACTTCTGCATGACCGAGGAGAGGTACCGTCACTCACCCCTTGCAAAATGGACAGACAGTAAAATAGCAACGTTAACTGGCGTCTCCTACCGTGATCTTTTTGTGATCAGGAAACTCGAGGCCAAAGTAGTCGCCCTCCACGAGGTTGAGGTGGCTGCACACGGCGTCCAGCAACACCTTCCCTGGAGCTCTTTGCTGGGAACAGAAACAACAGGTGTTAACCCTCGAGTCGGGCAGCAGCCAAATCCCACCAAGGCTCCTCCATTAAGGAGCCCTCTCAGTTCCCGGATCTGCAGGTCTGTGCAGCTAGCCACCATCCACCGCCACGCCACCCTGAGAGCCAGGCCCAGCCACACCTCTGTGGCCTGCTCCTGCCATCCCCAAACTTAAAGGTGAATCTCTGCCACCTTCTCTCCACCCCAATCCCGGGCACCCCTCTTTCCCTTTTCCAATAGTAGACTGATTTTAGAGCAGGTTTTTGTTTGTTTTTGGTGCTGGGCATTGAACCCAGGGCCTTGTGCATTCGAGACAAGCACTCTACCAACTGAGCGATATCCCCAGCCCTTAGAGCAGTTTTATAGAAAATAGAGTCCCCTTCCATGCCACCCACAGTGACCCTGTTGCTAATGTCTCACAGCAGTATGGCACATCTGTTCTAACTGCTGAGCCAATATTGAGACATTACTGTCACCCAAAGTCTGTAGCTCTTCCTGCGGTTCACTCTTCATGCTGTGAAGTTCTACGGGCGTTGACCAACGTATAGCCAAGTCTCCACCATTATGGGGTCGCACAGAACAGGTCCACTGAATGAAACCAGCTTCCCCTAAAGATCCTCTGTGCTCTTCCTTTTCATCCCTCCACATTCCGGGCAACCACGGATCTTCCTCCTGGCTCTACAGTTACCTTCATGTAGTCATGTAGCTGGGATGGTACAACGCAAAGGCTTTTCATCCTGGTTTTGTTTACCTAGTAACACTCATTTAATGTTCCCCTGTGTCTCTAGGTGGCTTGATGGCTCATTCCTTTTTATTGCTGAATAATATTCCGTGGCCTGAATGTTCCAGTTTGTCTCTACATTCACTTACTTAAGAGCACCTTTGGTTGTGTCCATGTTTTGGTAATTATGAATAAAGCTGCTATAAATACTTGTGGGCAGGTTTTACGTGAACGTAAATTTTTAAGTCTTGTCCAAGACTTTTTTGTTAACAGTTGAAATCACATCCCCGAGCCTCTCTTCTCCTCCACAGCATTTATGCTTTCTGGCTTTGTCTTGTGTGTTAACTAATTGTACTCACGCTGGAGGGAAATGCCGTATTTTAATCATCCTGGGATCCACAATGCCCAAAGACCAACCGGTTTGGTTGAAATCAGTGAATGCACAAATGAATGAAAGTTACCTCTTCCCAACTGAGTCTGTGTCCTCAATGAATTTGGGGCTACTTTATGCACCTCTATATTCCCACGGCCGAGCAGAGTACTGGCACTCCACCAGTGCCTGCTATTCATGCAGATCAATGCCAATTCTACTCACGGGAATAAGGAGCATTAAATATAAGAACCCAATTTCTACCTTAAAGAGCTTAGAATCCTAAGAAAAATGAAGAAAAATGTTTTAAAGCCATTGTTGTCCACAGTTCCTGGTTTCATACTTTCTCTGAGAAGAGCAGAGCCTTTTAGGAGCCATTTAGCAACCCGGGAGACTGACAGACGGCAAGTGTGGAGGATGGGGCGGCCAGAGAGGCCAATATAATAAAAATGCTTTCGCGATCAATACCATGCACTATTTATTTTATGTTTTAAGCAGATGCCACTTCGTGATCCCACCCACTGAAACCTGGAAGGTTCTCACAGCTGCCTGAGGGTGGGTAATCTCCACTCAGGCTGTAGAGCTCGACGGTAGAGTCCTTTCCCATGTGCAGGTGGCAGGAGTAACTCGTGGGTGCCTGTGACCCCCATTCTTCCCTGTCAAACTCTCTCCCAAGCCCAGGCTCACTTATCCAGGGAATGGACACAGAGCACCATGGATTACTGGTCGCTGATCTTATTTCCCACCACTTTGGTGTACCATCTGTCCTGTTGCAGACATACTATGTTCAGGCACTTCCCAGTAAGGCTGACACAGCGGGAAAGCTGCCCCACAATAGTCCCTGGTGCTGGGTTCAAGTTCTCACACCTGCCTCCAAAGACCTACATGACTAACTTACGCACAGCTATTTATTCTAGGACCTCCTCTCATCCCAGCAACCCCAGTAAAATCTGTAGATGTGAATAAGAACATTATAAAAATAGGCCCCCAAATAAAAAAATGATAGAACTCCTATACTATATAAGATTATTTTTCCACTCTCACGCTCTTCCTCACAATTCTCGACATTGTCTATTTGTTAACAAAAATGAGGCACCAATATCTGCCCAGCTGGCAGGCACCACGTTTCCCAGAGAATTCCTGGAACTAAGGGAATTTGATAACTTCATCTCGATTTACAGAGTCTGAGAAATGAGACATTTCACAGTTCAACACTGGAAATCTAAACAAGCAGAAAAAAAATCAATACACAATGGATGTCTTTATGCACAGGGTGTTAAACGAAGCCCTTCACAGGAGACGGAGGAGAGTTACCATCGAAACTGGGTCCCTTACTGAGCCGGCAGAGATTCGTGAAGGTGTGGAGCGGACCCTGGTCATCACACAGGCTGTGCTGAGACTGGAGCTGCTCATTCCTTTAGCACTGTGAATGCTACTTCTGTCCTGCCAGAGACAAGCACCACAGTGACGGTTCCCTGCACAAGGAAGGGTTTGAAACGGATGCTTGGAATCTACCTAATAGATGACAAAGCTGGTCTTGGTCCTTAAAACTTTTCTTCAGATTTATTATTTTGTATGAATGGATATAGAAAACGATTTTTTATGGTACTGAATTTATTTTTAAACACGGGGATGTTAACTTAGAATTTGAATGGTAGCTTTATAGTCCCTAAATTTTATCTATAAAATAGATGCCTATAAAGTATTCTATGAGTTGTCCTGTGAATGTCAGCTATATTCAGAGATAAGAAAAGCCAGTACATAGGATCACTAGAAAGCATTTCTAAGGCTTAAATGCATCCGGACTTGACAGTTTTCTAGGTAAATGTCACCGGAATGGACTTGGCATTAATATCTCAAAGTGTCCCGAGCTGCTACAAACTAAAATGCCTCTGGATATCATGATACCATGATGTGATCAGGACCCCATTTCCCTTTCCTTCAGGAACTGACACAAAACTATCTGGGTGTATCAACGTACCCAGGCAACATTCGGCTTTGGAGAAGGCATCTCAGAGGAGGGAGGCTTGGAATGGGCTTCTTCCGCGTCCTTTAAGAAGAGCTATTCTTGCCTTTAATGAGTCCTTGAACTTCACTCTGAAAGTTATTCTGTACAAATCACACCATAGACTGTAAAAATGATGCAGCCGCGACGGAAAACAGTATGGTGGCTTCTCAAAAAATTAAACATGGAATCAATCATCCTATGATTCAGCAATTCTGCTCCTGGGTATAGTATCAAAAGAGCTGCCAGCACTGTACTGAAAGATACTCACACACCCATATACAGAGCAGCATTATTCAAAAGAGCCCAAAGATGGAAAAACCCAAATATGCACTGGTGGATTAATAACTGATGAGCAAGAGGTAGTAGATGCATATTTATTACCGAGTTCTCCATTACTCTCATGAAGTATTTGTGGCTGGGTGGCTTAAAGAAAAGAGGCATTTTTAGCGCACAGTCCTAGAGGCACAGCGGGCACCGACAAAGCCTCATGGCAGAAGACATCCAACAGGTGAGAGGAAGAGAGGACAAGAGAGCACACTGTGAGACAGGGACCTGATCAGGCCGGGGAGTGGCAGGCTTGCTCTTGCACAGCAACCCTTTCATGAGAACTAAGTCAGGGGTTCCACAAAATTCCTCGATCCCTTCCAAGGGCACACCCCTAATGACCTGAGCACCTCCCCCTGACCCCATCTCTCAAAGTCCCCACCACTTCAACACCACCACGCTGAGGACCGACCTCCAACCAAGGAGCCCTCGGGGGACAAACCACATCAACGTATAGCAACACGTGCCCAGTGGCATGTTCCTCAGCCTTAAAAAGTCAGGAAGCTGTGGTGCATGTGACTCATGGATGAACCTTGAAGACACTGCACTAAGTGAACTAAGCCAGCTCAAAGGGTCACTTAAATGCAGTGACTGAGTGTGAGATCCATAGAGGCAGAAAGCAGAATGGGGTTCCCAGGGGCTGCAGGGGGGATGTTAGCGTTTAATGGTGCGGTGGGGGTGGGAGTGCTGGAGACGGACAGTGGTGACGGCTGCCCAGCAGTGTCCACGTATGAATGCCACCAAGCTGCACACTTCCAGATGGTCACAATGGGTCATGTTTATGTTCTGTATGTTTAACTACAATAGAAAATACCTAGGGAAAGTGGGAAACAGTAACTAAATGCCGGGGCTCACACTGAGAAACGACCAGAGGCTACTCACGACAGTTAGCCTTCTAAGAATAACAGCCTGGTGTGGTGGCACAGGCCTGTGATCCCAATGACCTGGAAGGCAGAGGTAGGAGAATCGCAAGTTCAAGGCCAGCCTCAGGAACTTAGTGAGGCCCTAAGCAAGTTAAGGAGACCCTGTTTCAAAATAAGAAATAGAAAGGGCCGGGGATGTGGCTCAGCGGTTAAGCACCCCTGGCTGCAATCCTTAGTGCAAAAAAAAAAAAAAAAAAGAAGAAGAAGCAAAGAAAGAATCCATTTTCTTTGCATCAGATCTTAGAAAAATACTGAGATAGAACCTCATTACGGAGGGAGAAAGCATGCGTCCTGCCTATTTGCTAATATTTCTTGGGATAAAGACCTTCTTTACACGTGTCTGGCAAAAAAGGCATGAGATGAACATTCTGGGAAGTGACCACAATCACACCTCGGGGCAGGCTTTGCCCTGGACGCCAGTGACGGCATCAAAAGCGACCCATTGACTAGCTGTTTGCGGCCTTCAACAAGAAAAAAGGCCTGTAACAGGTTAATAAACTTGGGTGGGGAAAGGGTGGCAGAACACAGAGCAGACCCCCTGAAGAGCTTCTGCAAGCGCATGTCTCAGAGTGACTTTCTACAGCACACAAGCCCGCACCCACAGACCTTCTGGTGCTCAGACTCTCATACGTGA